ATGGAGTGGTGACCTTCATTGGATCAGTGGTCGTTCACACTCGAGCACTTGCAGATCTCCGTCTCCACCCTACACGCCTGACCTTCTTCAAGACATCTCAATCCGCCAGTAGCTGCATGATATTGAGCTAAAACTTGCCGACGTGCCGATGCCTTACAGTCGCCGTCGCTAGCCTTCTTCGTGTAATGGTGGTTACTCCGTAGCGTTTGAGTTCGCATGGCAGCAGAAGCTACGGATTGCCTCATAGATTGATACATGAAGGGTAAAGGCGCTAGAAGGTTCCTGAAGAACTGCTCCAGTAGGACATGTTTAATTTGTAGTAAGCATGAGCTCGGCAGCTTCTTGTACATAGGAGTCTACTGAACCCCACGACCTCTTCGACAAGCATGCTTCAAATCTTACCACACCTTGCATTAAAGAAGACAATTGCCTCGGGTCAAACGGAGAATGATGTCGGAAGCCTGTCAAGGATGAAAAGCCACCCGTTAGTGTTTAGCATTCTCCACTGGACGTTCTTGTCCCGTGCAGATCATTCTTCGCTTCTCTTAGTTCTCCAATGTCCATCAGATATCTTCTCGCGAGTTCTTGTGAACATTGAAATGGCTGGCTTGGCAATTATTGAGGTCTTCGCCTAGAGTCGCACCTCTCGCGTAGCTTCGGGCCATTTACCTGGAGTGGTAGTGGACTCTAATCGACACGGGAGCAACCGGCGAACCGCGGTACAGGCAGATGTCCTAGCGCATGGTATTGTACTTCTGCTGATTGAAGGAGTGTTGCAGACCACGTCAACAGCTCTAGCAAAGTAGTCCGTTTGTGTCGACCTGTAAGCATGTGTTTAGTTGTGATGGGACAAACGCGTAGATCGATGATGATGGCGCTTCCAGGCCAACCCAGCAGGATACTGACTGTACACGCTATAGCGCATTCCGGAGCCTGATGGGACATGCGACAATTTACGAGCGCGATTTGTACATCGTACGATGTTTCGTAGTTACAGATAACAAGAGCCCACTCTGCAGTTAGTGACGGGGATATTAACCGGAAGACGAGGCAGAAAAAGTAAACATCGTGACTACTGGCTTCTTTGCTCGTAGGTAATTGAACCTGGATGAATAGACATTCTATGCAATATTTACTTTGTCCACTTACGAGAACGGCTCTAGACATGACGGTTTTGAGCGATGCTATCGTCTTTTCGTAAGTAGCGGGATTTAGAACGCTCGGGCATTCATATCAGGAGAACCTTGAACTGAGACACACACCAAAGAACAACGAAATCGAGGTAGATTTCGAAGAAATAAGACAAAACTAACCAAGTACTATGTTGCATCGTAGGGGAGAAACCTAGCCTGCGAACTGTCTGGCCAGCTACTACGAGTACACATCATGATCAATATCTAAGCTTCCTCGTCCCTTTGGTTTTCTTGATCCACTGGGCGTCCCGTTTGCTTAATTCCATCGCACTTCTCTTCCTCTTCGCATCTCCACCCCCAATGTTAGCTGCGGTAATGTTTCCACACTCAGGTGTTGTCAACCTTTGTCCGAATTGATCAGCAGCCCAAATAAGAACACCGTTCGACCAACCAAATCCTTCCACCACTGTATACTCTCCGCCCCCTCCAGCAGCGTTGGTACTCTCATCAGAGTACTTTTCGAAGATCGTCCCGTTACCTTGAGAGTCGGGAAGTTGCGGCACTTCATCAGTCGCGCCACCAGTGACACGCCACGTGCAATACAAAGAGTCAAGATAGCGTTGTGCAATGCGGAGGGAAAGATCTTGTGTCCAAATGTAATCCTCGGTTGACTGCTCGTCATCGTCTTCGCTAACCTCGAGGGGGGTGTTAAGCAGACCTTGCATAAGGATGTATTGGAGTGGTGGCCAGACGTTTGGCTCATCCCATTGCTGGCCGGTCTGGAGGTTCGTTGCAGCAATCGCACCGTCTCTGGATTCAAGAAGCTCTTCGACTCGTGCGTAAACGCGCCTCATTGCCTTGGGGTCATTCTTGATGCTTTCAGGAGCCGCACCTGTCCAGAAAGGATAGAACTGGGAAATCTGGAACCATATTTGTTTTCCAGGCGGCGCTCCTTGGAGTGCAAGCGGTGTACTTGTGTTGTCGGCCAAGGTGTAAATATTCTGGCTACTAGAGGTCAAGTTATAGTCGAAGTAGCTGTAGTGCTCAGGCGACCAAAGGAATGTTGTCATTGCCTCACTCCGATTTGCAGCGCGACCGGCCCACTCGCGTGCGGCGGTATAATTGCCTTGATGGCGGTGGAATTCGGCTATCGTAATCTCATTGTAGTACAGGATCGAGTTGAGCTCTACTGGGATGATCTCAATGGTATTGAGCGAACGAAGAGGGAAGAATGTTTCTGTGACAGCGTCGGATGGGTTGGCAATCCAGCGTGCTGAATAGTCCCATCCACTCTCTGCACCCGATGCAAGGTTGGAATACAACGTCGCCTTTTGAGTCTCGTTGAGTGGCTGTGTGGCGTTGAACTCCACACCTTCTTCGTTGAAGTAGGTCGCATTGTTGGCAGTCACATAATCCTCGTAGTAGGATTCAGGTCGTGGCTGCGTGTTTGACACGGCATAGTGGTTGAGAGAGTAGTTCATGCCAGCCCGCTCAAGCGTCACGGTACGGTTGTTCACCCAAAACTCATACTCCTTTTCAAGGATGGGTATCGCCCGTTCGAGCAGAGTATAATTTTGTGTATACTCGACGTAAACACGAACCATCTGCGTAAGTAGTGGCGGCTGCGATCGATTTTCGTAATAGCGACGAGCGCCGTTGGGCACGAAGCCAATATCTTCGACAAGATCCATGAAATTCTCGATGATGTTTTCGGCAATCTGAGTAAAGGACCCCTGAGTACGAAGGAGGCCTTCGATGATCCAGAAGGAGTCCCAGTAATATGGCTCCCTGAAACGACCACCAGCTACCACGAAGGTACGGTTGACCGGAAGGAAGGAGTTAACGCAGCCAGAGCAGTTTCCAGCTCCGACATATCGGCGCGTTAAGTCAGGCCATATATCGATGACTTGGCGTGTGAAATCTCGAACAACAGAGCTGTTGACGTTGTCAAGAAAATCCGGCTGCGTTTCTAGCTCATCAGTAGGTACTTCTTCTAGTTCGGAACCAGCTTCGCCAAAGTATTCGGATAGAAAATCGTTTAGCGCTGTATTGTTCTCAATCGGTCTCGAGAGGTTGGCGAATGCTGCAAGCACTTCTTCTAGCGGGCGTGTTGTTGGTCTGCCATCGATTAGCTATGATCTAATACGGGCCCTTCAAGTTACTTACAAATCGACGAACGTCTTCGAATCCTCAAACGGTCTTGCGAGTTCGATTTCGCGGAGCAGGTCGCCATAACAGTAGATGGGTGAGTCGCAAGGTGCAATCACACTGCCATTGATGAACAAAGCATTTGCCAAAGGCACGCTTGCAATGAGAGCAGGAATCAGCGAGCGCATTGAAGCCATGATTTTGACCTGGCTCCAGCGGAAGAATAGAAGGAATTGACACAGGACCGAACATGTCCAGTCCGCCTACTTAAGCTCTCAGCCGTGCGACCCTAGTGTACGAAGAAACCTGCCATTGCACCGCGCAGTACGGGTACGCTGACCGGTCCGTCCACGTACGTGGCTTGCTAAACCACCCATAATGCGTATCGTCATACTTGGCAAGCTTTCCCGAAGTACCCAAGTAATAGTTCGGCATCAGCACATGGCGTATCGGAGGAGTGGTGTTATTGGTAAAATGTGGAGAGGTCGAGCCCATGCGGAGGTTCCCCGCAAAAATGGCTGTCCAAAAAGTCTTAGCGTGATGTCATCGCTGTCAGCTCCGGTCCGAAAACCATGGTACCGATTTCTGCATGTCACAGTTTTGACATTGGAAATTACCTATATTCTCACAGTGCCGTCACCAGCTTTGAACAACTTGGAAATACATGGCACAAAAAAGCGCGGCTTAGTTACACTGGTACATACCCGAGGGCATTATCCGTATTCCCCAGTACCGCTTTGTCAACGAACCTCTAGCACATCTGACAAAGGTACCATATTCCCGACATCCGATTCGAAACTGCAGCGAATGTGGTTTCAAAGGTCGCGACTTCTACGTCCATGATCCTGTGCAATATATTGGCGTAATAGTAAACGGTGTTCAAGGACGTGGAACCACATCACGGCTGTTGTCTCGTCACATTCAGAGCTCGTCAAAGCACTGAGAAGCTAAGTTGAACCGTCGTTCCTTGCACTAGCGCGACTCTAGTAGTAAAACATCCAGTATTGAGGCTGACTTGACTTCTCTTGTTGCCAGTTCGGCTCGGTTCGTCCTCCTAATCACGTTCCCTTTATCCGTACATTGTCTCGCAAAATCACATGGCATCCGATTCTTGCCACGACTAGACTACAAATATTTCTGCCGCTGTCATTAGTCTCTGGTTCGAGCGGCGCTATTTGTACAAAGGGATATTAGATGCGCTTGCGATTTGCCGAAGCAATTTCCGATTATCATCAGAACCACAATTCAAACTCCTTCCATTGGTCTGTACAATGTGAAGAAGCACGATCAGACACGGACATAGACTGTCACGAAGCCTTTTCGATGATTTGGGTTGTGCCAAGAACACTCACAATGCTGTACGGCTTTCTTCTTGTCCGCCTCCTACTTTCTGCACTTTCGATTGAGTGCAACTCCATCTCTCCGATACCAAATTCGTTCTGTAATGAAGAACCACATACCATCAACAATGATTCCGTTCAGAGTACCGCAATGTCCTGGCCCTTTAACTCGTAACCTGAGAGAACGAATCAGGGAATCCTTCCAGGCAGGTTTGCCAGCGACTGTCGTGATTTCGATGTCTTAACTTTGCTCAGCCATCCAAAAATACCGCTGTTGCCAAATTTGCGGGATCCAAGCTGTGCTTATCGAACATGCGTGCGATGGGATTGCTTTCCTCGGCTCATGAGCAAAGTGATCTTGGTTATTCCAGTATCGTCCTCACCCCAGCATTCTCGCCAAGCCTCCCAGACTGACATTGAGACTAAAGCTCAGCTTAACACCTTTAGCTTGCGCCGTGAATTCCTGGGTATGTTCACTCCATTCCCTCCGGATCTGCGCGCGTTGTTGGAGAGCGCTGGGCCTTCGCTGCACATTCTCCCTCTTGTCACTTTCTCTGTGTACGAGAGGTCTTCGTTGCAAATCTTTCGTGTCTTGTAAAACTGGTGCTATCATGGTTTGTATGCTTGCGATCTGATGTGGCGGCACGTTTTCGAAGAGTTTACCGCTCTTGGTCTGCATGACGAAGCTTTGGTACCGATAAGCATGCAGGATCAAACTGTGAACATCTGACATGGCACTCTTCTCAAGAAATGCAACGGCAGATTTGTAATGCCGCAAGTCCCATACTGAGGCGTTCTTCTCGGTTATCAGCAAGAAATTATCTCCGGCACCCAGTGCTACGAGACGCGGCCGATCGATCCAACTTCCATCCTGTATGTTGTTCTGTAAGGCGACAAGCAGGGTTCCTGGCAAATTCTTCCAGAGGTACGAAGCTTTGTCGTGGATGAAGAAAGACGAATTATATGGTCCCAGCGTACAGCGTACATTGGGAATGTTGCGGTTCTCAGCGTGCAGGAAGTCGACTAACTCGTGCGGGAGTCCAGAGCTCTCAACACGGTCTCTTCCACCAGCATCTCGCCAGGTCAAGAGGAAGCTGTCCTCGAAACCAAGGGTCACATGATATATCTTTTTCAATTGTGAGGAGCTGAGAAGTCTTGCCAGCTTTTTAGGAAGACGTGCACTGCACCATCATCAGTATCACTCATCAGCCTGTTTTGTGTATGAAAGCATACTATTCTCGTCTCGACGGACATTGGAAGAAGTGGCAGCCGCGTTGGCCAAACGTAAACGTAGAATCGCACATGTGCCGCCGAAAACTCGGGCTCGCTAAGAAGAAAAAACGCTGGGTCTAGATCGATGGAAGCGGTGTGCGACGCTGAACACAGTGGGCCACTATAAAGTCGCAATGTTGTGAAGAAGTAGGCAATCGCACGACTGATTGTGTTGACATTCGCCTTGCCAAGCTTGATCGCTTCCAGGGTCTAAACAGGATAGCAACGTTTTGAAACCGTTGTCGGGGAACACGCGCCAGTTTGTAAAGACGTCAGGGCGACGGAAACCTATCAACGGCTCAATACATACGCGCTTGTACGTTGAATGCATATTGTTTCACCCATTTAGGTGCATCGTTGACATCTTTAGAGGTTTCACCACGTTAAGAGTGCGTGACGTCATAATAGCTTCCAACCCAATCGCGTCCAGCCGGGAATGAGTGGTACCGCGAGCAATGCCTCGTTCTTTTCGTTCGGCCCCAATGACAGCTACATATCCAAAAGCTTTGCGGGACTCAATTAGTACGCTGCTAGCCTATTTCTTCGTACGCGACGACTAACGATCAACAGTCGTAACCTCCCTTCCAGCCTCCAAGATCTCCTTCTAGGTAGGTCTGTTTCCGAAGTACATTGGGCAGCTCTAGGGCCGATAACCGAATCCTGGATCCTGAGTTCCAAAGACCCATCGGGCAGAAACAGCCTGCAGTGGGGCTCATCTATACCTTCACGACTCCAGAGTATCCTGACCAAGACATGGCACTCTCCACACCTGCGTGCCTTCTTGGGGCCCGACGACTCCTTCATCATCTGGCACCCTGAGCTCATACGTTGGGCTAATCTGCCACCGAGCCTAGAGGATGCCGTACAGTCTTGGTTGACACCTTCTGGATGGCGCGTAGGGCCGCCACGCATTGTAACATGGGGTCCCGAAGGCGCATTCTTCGCTATGAGTGAGTACGGTGACGTTGTATACCGTTTAGGCGACGTAGATGCCTGGGAAATTTACAAAGAAACGGTAGAAGAGTGGAAGGCGGAGAAGGGGTTTCTCTGGAGTGACCTGACTTTCATAACGCTGGATCCTACCAGCTCTGATCAATTCATCGCAATCCGCAACGATGGGACATGGGCTGGCTCCATTGATGATATCAACGAGGAAGCACTGGAGACTTTTGCACTCAACTTCTTTGCTCGAGCGAAGAAGAAGTCGAAACCTAGCACATCCCAGTCGAGCGGGCAGATGCCAAACGGTACCGACAAGTCTACAGAGGCGAAACCCGACGCCGCGACGCAAGCCCTCTACGAAAAATGGTCTACAGAAGCGGCAGTCATGTTCGCAGCCGCATCAGCAGCAGCCGGAGGCTCGAAACCTAAAGCCCCACGGAAACTCCAAGTTCGTTCCCAGTCCAGTAGCTCAGATGCTTCTAGACCGCCACTGCACCGCACGCCATCTGCATCGCCAAAACTACTGTCCATGTTCCCATACCTGCCTAACACGATTACGACCTGCAATCTCACAGCATGTACGATTCTCAAATCTGAACCAGATAGCATACACGCCTGCCAACACGACGTAGAAAAACTACTTCGAGCAAGTGGTTTGTATAGCTACGAGTGGCTACGTCAGGAGCGATTGCGATGGCATCCAGATCGCTTCGGACGGCTATGCGAGGAAGAATGGAGAGAAACTGGGAAGAAGCTCGCCGGCGAGATGTTCAAACTCATGAGCGTACTGATAGAAGATCTCAAATCGCATCAAGGCGAAGGCAGTGGTAGTAGGGGTGTATAGTAAATATAACTAAGAGAAGGCGTTTAGACATGGTTAAGCCTGTCTAGCAACCAGCCTCAGACTCCCCTGATCTTTCTCTAGACTCACGCTAGTACTTGCAGCGACCTCTTCCAACCGCTGTCTGCCCACCGGCCTAGCCTCACCCGTAATGATATCATCCATCTCGCAAAACAACATTGCCATTATCGAACTCTTCCACAGCCTCTCGCTCTCCACGCCCCTACTCTCAAGGTGCACTAGTAAGAGGAAAATAGCTGAAAGTGCTATCATTGTAGCAGGAAAGGCGACCCACGTCCAATTTATGTTGATACAGGTTGTTGTGTACCACATTGTCCCTTCAGCAGGCTTGTTAAAACCCGGCATGCCGTGGGTACGGAGGACAGTGTTCATGGCGGTGGTGAGGTTTGTCATCAGACTGCCGACGTGGTCTAGAGGCGCATTTCGCATTTCACCGTCATTCCATAAGACACGCATGGCGGCAGATCCAGAGCGGCCATTTGGTACAAACGTGAGGAACTGTGCGTCGTAAATGGTTATGAGATGTTTCCGGATACTAGACGTGCCCGTGACTGTCATGGCCCAAACGCAGTCTTCTGGGTACCACACGGTTTCCGCACCTGGGCCTTCCATATCCAGGTAGGTTGTATTGATGGGTGCGGCGTCGATGTTAACTTTTGCGACGGGCAGATAGCCGGGTGTGTCAGCGTTGCGCTCATCACAGGTGATTTCTGTGCCGTTCCGGAGGGTTTGCTTCGTGGCTAGGCGGAAGACGGAAGTGCGGCCAAAGGCTACGTCTTCACCAATACGAACGCTCTTGCTTAGCTCTTCCTTCAAGACACCATTGTGGTATATCGCCTTCATTGTGTTGACTGTGGGATATATCCCGCATCTTATCGCTTTATACTCGTAGTTCTCGCGTGTGGAGTTCGATATGTATATCATGCCTATCGTCGATATGGTGCCATTGTAACCAAGTTGTCCTTGTGATACGCCAGTAACGATGGATCCAGGCCAGCCGGCAAGCAAAAACTTGACTGGGGGGTAAGAAAGGAGGTTGTCGGAAAGTGGCAGAGAAAGACCAATATTCCTTGCTTTTGTGCCGTTTCTCATAGTGAATTCATAATCAGTTGTGAGGGCAGCCGTCCCGTTGGTACTATTTGGTGAACTGCTACTCATCTCCTCAGCACATGCCTCGGGACTGCCACCACAGTTCATTTGAATCAAAAAGTCGGTCGGCAGATAGCCGTAGTATTCAGCATCGTCGTAGTTGAGTGGTACTTCCACTACTTCCGATGTAGCATCTTCGCACCAATGGTCGGTAGCCAGAGTTGAAAATGTCGACCCATTTGCAGCCGGAAAGGTGCAATTACCAGTTTTACATCCGTAAGAAAGAAGGGTAGTCGTGTCCTCAAGCGGTTGAAGTATCCCAACATCCATAGCTACACTCATGGGAAGGAATTCGTCGAACCCTTGTACAGATGTCCTTTCTCCACTGGCGTTATAAACATTAGACTTGCGTATTCCGACTGCAGCACTTTCATCAGTACGTAGGCAATCATTGAAGACGACAAGTTGCTGAGCAGCGAATCCAGTAAATGCCGACATGACGGTGACAAGAGCGCCCATCGCAGCGATAAAGCTTGTATGTGTAAGTTTATGCCTAGACGTAGTTCGCATATACATACTAAGGCTTCTTGATCCTGAGACCGAAGATGAATAAGACAGAGCCCCATGCACCACGACTAGCGGAGTCGAATTTTGCCATGTCATCAAGCTTGCGTGCTTTGCGGAACCATTGCCACTTCGATTGACTGATCCCCTCGGCGAGTACCATGCTTACTCCAGCCCTAATCATCATGGAGAACAGAGAGACGATAGAGTTGATGCTAACAATCTGAGGCCAATCTGGCAAGGGGCGATCTTGATGAGCCATGAGCGTAAGAACAAGGCCGATCAACGACAGCAGCGCAAAAATGCAACTACATGTCTCCGCCGTCCAGCCCTTTCTCCATAACCGCAGTGAACCATTAGCAAATGCCTTCCAGCCTTGGGCGACACCGCGTAAGATTGCAGCTAGAGCATTAGGGAATACTGAAAGGCATCCTCGGGGGTGTGCTGTAAGGTTCTTCTTCGTTTGACCCTGGTTGAAGTCCTTCTCCACTGTGGTAGTTGTGGGTTCTTTACATTTTTGTTGCAGTAGCGGACTGGATTGTGGTGGGCCTGTGCGATCCATTGTTAGAGGGAAGAGTGATAAGGTGTGCTGTCAACGTCCGGAATGCCACCATACTATAAGGTTTCACCAGCATGGACGAAGTGCAAGGCGGCTCAGCAGGGCGTAAAATGCGGCGCCATGCACTGTAACGGCTCTGTAGCGCGTACTAGAGTCTGTCTGGGTAATGAGTTGTACCCATGGTGACAAGGGTCAGGCTGTAGGATTCTGCGTCGCAGAATACGCCGTTGTTGCAGGCAGCTGGCCAAATTCCTTACGTTCTATTTTCTACCTGTACTATACCACGTTGTTACAGACAGTGTAGCTCTACATTGTCTTCACGTGCCCATGTACCCGTTTTAACACGACCATGCGATCCAGAAAGGCCCCCAAATCCGTGCCTCCCACAGGATAAAGTCCGAAGCGCCCGCTGCCTGTTCGGCTCTTTCATTGGACATGCGGGCGCGCTAGTGCACAATATGTGATGAAGTCGTAGGAACAACTGCATGTGCGGGGCGGCTCAAATTTAGGAGATTTAGTATCCGAAGCAAGCCACACAGACCCTGGACGTTAACCTCTTTCCGCCCCAAGGTACCCGCAAGGTGCAGCAGGCGCGACTCCAACACCATCTACTATACACGCGCTTGGGCAGGGCCTGCCGCTGCCGCATTAGCGTCATACATCAACTGCACATCACATACAAGTTAAGGACGAAATAGTTGCCGAATCTCTGTATGCAATGAAGAACCAAAATATTATTCTAAGAATCTTCGTCCTGTATTGACAGGTTGAATATCGAAGTACAAGACCCATGTCGAGCCGCCGCAGATACCAAAGAATGGTGATCAGGGTATACGCCTAACCGTGTGAACGCCGTGTATTCCCAAAGGCCGTTATTAGAGTCAATAAATCGCCAAATCGCATCCTTTAAGTGCACTGACTGTACAAATTTATGAGTACCAGCTCGGTTGCTGGCTGTACCCTTGGTTGTCACCAATATCATCGTCGTTGTATTCTTCCACCTCAAACTTGGAGCCTAGAGCCTCGTTCGCTTCTCTCAGCATGGCAGTCATCTGCAGGCTCATCCTGCGCATGCGCTCATCTTCCTCGATCTCTTCCCTCCGCACTTTGTTGATCAGACGTTGACTTTCCTTTGGCAGAGGGCTCGCGGTATTGCTTGATTTGTCGTCGAACATGGCTGGTGAGCCGTAGCTTCGTCGGCTGTAGGAGTGCGCTCGTTCGTGTGAGCTAGGAGTGACTGCCGGGCTGCCGCCGAAGGATCGTCTCTCAACTGTCGAGCGTCGGGATACTGGGATTAGTGAGGGCCGTTTATAGGATGGCGTTCCTGCGTTTGGTCGTGATACAGGGCGTGGGATTAATGAAGGCGATCGATCGGGCAGTCTTCGCTCTGATAGTCGCGGTGTTGAGGGTCTTGATTCTGTCTCTAGATTAGTTCCAACAACTACCCAGTTGTCTGCTGTGCGCAGTCGCTTGGCCATCCTAGGTCGATCTGGCGTAATGGAATCGATTGACTGGACTCCATAGTCATCGCTTGGAGCAGGAGGCAGTTGCTGCACTGGACCTGCCTGATAGGGGTCGTCCTGCAGCCCGAGTTTCGCCGCGACCTCCTCCTGCGCATCGATGCTGTATCGCGCTCCTCCTCCCGCCTGGAAACCTCGGAAGGGCACTGTACAGAACTGGAACAGCTTTCCAGCCACTCCTCCGACAAGACCCATTATAGACCATGATTTGCTCTCGCTGGGTGTCGTTTGCACCTCGCCAACTGCGACCTGTCTTGCCAGGCCAACCTGGGGTGTAGGAGGTACCGACCAGGTGCCGCGCTGCTTTTGGAGGTTGAAGTAGTCGTCGTAGTCGCCTTCTCGTCTTGTATCGTTATGTGTCCCATCCATACCCCCAGCGAGTTGGTAGCGGTCGTTCGCAAGCGGAGGTGGACTTCTGGTATCGCTGGAGCGAGTGTTGTGCAGGACATGTTCTCCCCAGGGACCTCCTATCACGGCTTCGTGCGCCGTGGAGCCATATCGGGAGCGCTTGCGGGTCTCGTGGACATGTGGATCAATCACCTGGTGGCCGGAGGTTTCATATGCCGCATCGAAAAAGCCCTTCTGAGACTTTGCGCGTGCATCCAAGGGCGAGGGACTATACAGCCCGGGCATATCGTGGAAGTAGCGCGAGTTGGTAGCCATGCAGGGAGGTGGATACGGAGGCTGCCTTTGCGTAGGGCTGATCCGGTACTGCTAGCGAACGAATGATGTCAGGCTTGCTGCACGAATTACTGATATCCGTCGGGAGCTTCCTTGACCCGCTGCTCCAAATGGCAAAAAAAGTAACTAAAGAGCCATGTTGGGTGCGGCCTGTCGCGTGTTCGGGATGTGAGTGGGGAACTGCGGAGTGAGAGCCATTGTTTGTATTCAGCCGTCGCTGTGGTAGCGCTATGGACGGACCATCATCATCATAATCATCATCTTCACAAGAGCAACGAGTAATCGCAAAATGAGGGACTGGTGCATATGATTTTGCAAAGAGCAGCGGACCCATCTATCAACACAACAACGCCTCCCTTCCCAAGACTGGGGTATACCTTGCCCAAACGCCGCCAAAATGATCATGGTTCTCTACCAAACGCCAGCGCCATTAGCGCATTCCCTTTACGCCCTTGCTATCCAGCCGCTATGCACAAAGTATTCAAACAGTTGTGATGATTTGTTCGTATCGATCTTGCAAATCTCTTTAGCCGTCTTCTTCTTAAGCGCGCCGCCATTGTTGAGTGCTGCCCGAATGATAGTTTCCTTGAGCGCTAGATATGGCTTGGGCATGATACGCAGCGTACTGCATATCTCCACCTCCTCTGCATTGAGCAACTGAAGATCCGCTTTTGACTCTTTGCCAAACTTGAGAGGCACGGTATTGGGGAGTGATTTGGGCACAAACTTTGTCTTGGAATGCTGTGGTGTTAGCACACCATTTGCACCGTTGACGCCGTTCTGAGCGCGATCCGGAGGTGGCGTTGTGAGACCACTGTTCTGTTTGACATGCAAAGGCAGCTCTTGCGCGAGCAACGCCGTGGCTGCAGATGGTTGTTCGAAAGGTGGCTGGGGTTTTGTCATCCTACTGGATGCCAGACGATCGAACTGCCCAATGGGAGGCGGCCGGGTTTGCCGTTGCTGCTTCTCCTGTTCGTACTTCTCCCCAGCTTTGAGACTCGTGATCTGCATGTTCCTCCACTCCTGGAGCTGTGAGATGGCCTGCCTAAGGTTGTGCTCGTATTCTAGATCCTTGCAGAACTGCTCAAAGTCGGCATGCTGCATCATCCTGGCAAAGGGCTTCGCCTTGTTCATCAGGTCTTTTTCTTCTTTGGTTCGCTTCTTGTCGGCCAGCTGATTCTTGCGATACTCTAGCAACTGATGCTCGAAGATGATCTTCTTGCGCTCAACTCGGGCGTCTAGACGGTGGTTGTAGATCTCCATAATGGTCATCTTGAGCTCCATCTCCGGCTCCAGCTCGCCCGTCCTTGGGTTCAAGCCATCGCCAGGGTCAAACTGCATGTGTTGCACAGCCTCTTCGGCTTCGTTGAAGTACTCAGTCTCGAATTCCAAACGACCGGGCATGTATCCTTGGACCTCGTGGCAGGCCGGGACACTAGCCGTGGGCTTCTGCTTGGGAGCATCGGGTTCACGGCCTGCAGCTTCCTCCTTCTTCTTCTCTATCCTCCTCTTCTTCCTCGCCTGGAACTCGTGACGCGGTATGCGGGTACTGAGCTCGGTGTCATCCTTGCTGCAGTGCTCCGGCAGGGGAAAGCTCGGGCTGTCCAGGTAGGTGTCGATGTAGTGATCGCGGACCTCATCCTTCTCGCGGTAGCCGCCTATGTGATCCGCAATGTCTGCCCATGAGCCCAGACCATATGTTTCGGCGCCTTCCAAGAGGGCCAGCTCCTCGTCGGCGCCCCAGTCTTCGGTGTATATGGGGATGGAGTGCTGCTCGATGACCTTGAACTTGTGCTTGGCAGGCTGGTGGTCGCGTGTAGCCTTGCCGTCGGAGAAGCATGGCACGCAGAGGTCGTATTCGCTGCACACGTCTTCGGCGCAGCGTATGCGGACCGTCGACGTGATGTCGGATGAGCACACATCACAGACGTACTTGGTGCCACCTTCGGTGCCCCGCGTACCCGTCTTCTTCTTGATGACCCCCATGGTGCCCCGCTATTGATGTGCGCGCAAGTGAAGGAGAGATGGGGATGAGACAGAGAGCTGTGGCTGTGCACGCCGTTGCTGCAAGGGCGCGAGTCGGGGTCGGAGGGGGCGATGACTAATGCAATGTAGGATAATGCCGCAGCTCGCAATACTCGACTGAGACGGGCGGCTGGGTGCGTTCAGATGGCGAGCGGACGCGGTGTTGGGCTCCAAGGTCGCGCGGTGTTGACGTACCCACGCCGGACGTTGTTGGCGGCGGCGGAAGCTGCAGCCGAGGCTGGGATGGGATGGGCAGGCACGAATCACGACTTCACTCGCAATGGCGTAGCATGGCCCGGATTAAAATAGACAAGCAGACTCTCACTCGTGCTGCGACGCGCGAAACACTGCAAAGGAATGGCAAAAGGATTGGCGCGTCAGTGCGTGGTCAGTCCGAAATGAAGGCTAGTTTCAGAGACCCAATGACCCAACTTCAAACGAGGACCCTATCTGGAGCATCGCAGCATTGACGGAGACCTGGGGCACTCGGACGTTAGACACATTGCCACCAGCCGCTCCCTATACCTAGGTCCTGTCTGCTCTCCCTTTCCAGAGCCCTCTCCCTGAGCCTCTACACTATTCACCGTCTGCCAGCACCACCTCCGCTCCTTGGTGTGCCCCTCGTCGCCTTCCCGCGTCCCGTAGTCTCCACCCTCTCGCTCCCTAGCAGCAGCACCCTGGGTGTCCGTCTGTTCTTCCTGCATCTGCCCACTGCTGAGCTGCCGCAACCATGTCTTGGAAGCTCACTAAGAGTGCGTATATCCCCAGAGCCCGCCTGCTGAGTGGCGCCCCCTAACCCGTGCTGCAGAGCTCAAAGAGACGCATCTTGCTCCCCTCGCCAACACATTCAGTCGCTCGTCGTCGACGTCGACAATAGTCGGTGACCAGCCGACGCCCAAAGCCTCGAGTTCCGCCGCCAGCGCGACGACCCTCGGAGACTCCAAAGACAATGGCATCGGTACTTTGGTCCTCCTGTCCCCACTCACCTCCTGCTGACCCAGTCCAGCCGCCTCAGAAGCCAACGCATCCGCCCCGGCGCAGCCCCTTCGCCCTGGTATCCTGATCGTCACCCTCCATGAAGGCCAGAAGTTTTCGCTGCCCCCGGGCGCTGAGCAGCAATTCAGCGGCGGGAGCCACCCCCAGGGCCCCATGTCCCAGGGTGGCGGCCTCTCCGTGGCAGGCTCAATGCGACCCGGGTCGTCTTCGCGCAATGCAGTCGCCGGTTCCTACGCGAACCGGCCGCAGTCTGCTGCTGGCAGCATCAATGCTGCGCCTACCATTCACGGTCGCTACTCGTCAAAACACCTGCCCTACGCTCTGGTCGATTTCGACAAGCAACAGGTCTTCATTAACGCAGTCTCCGGTACACCAGAGAACCCGCTCTGGGCTGGCAGCAACACGCAATACAAGTTCGATGTGTCCCGCGTCACCGACCTCACCGTCTCGCTTTACATCCGAAACCCCTCCGCATCGCCCAACGCCGGTCGCAACGAAGACATCTTCATCGGAACACTCAAGGTCCACCCCAAATTTGAGGAGCAAAGGACGGACAGCAAATCTGGAAATGGCGACGGCACAGCTGGCCAGGCCGGTGCTGATTGGATACCAGTGCAGTTTGGCAGCGGTCAGATGAAGGTCGGAGTCAACTTTGTCGAGAATCGCCAAGATCGTCTTGCGATTGACGATTTCGAACTTCTCAAAGTCGTCGGCAAAGGTAGTTTTGGAAAGGTCATGCAGGTGCAGTATGTGCTCATGCGCTCTTCTGCATTATCAAATACTCACAACGTACAGGAAGAAGGATACGCACCGAATTTACGCCCTGAAGACCATTCGCAAAGCACATATCATTTCCCGATCCGAAGTCGCACATACTCTCGCCGAGCGCTCTGTCCTAGCTCAGATCAACAATCCTTTCATCGTACCGTTGAAGTTCTCGTTTCAGTCGCCAGAGAAGCTGTACCTTGTCTTGGCCTTTGTCAACGGTGGAGAGCTCTTCCACCATCTGCAGAAGGAGCAACGATTCGACATCAACCGAGCTCGATTCTATGCTGCCGAATTGTTATGCGCCCTTGAGTGCTTACACGGTTTCAACGTCATTTATCGTGATCTGAAGCCCGAGAACATTCTTCTCGATTACACTGGTCATATTGCCTTGTGCGACTTCGGTCTCTGCAAGCTCGACATGAAGGATGAGGACCGGACGAACAGTAAGTCATATCTGAGCATGGCTTGAATCGGAGAACTAACACTGTCTTAGCATTCTGCGGAACACCAGAATACCTCGCTCCGGAACTCCTTACTGGCGCTGGCTACACCAAGTCCGTCGACTGGTGGACGCTTGGTGTTCTCCTTTACGAGATGTTGACTGGATTACCTCCCTTCTATGATGAGAACACCAACGACATGTACCGCAAGATTCTTACCGAACCTCTACACTTCCCGGGTCCTGAGATTGTTCCACCGGCCGCACGCGATCTCTTGACTCGCCTCCTAGACCGCAATGCAGAGAAGCGATTGGGTGCCAAGGGCGCTGCAGAGATCAAGGCGCATTACTTCTTCCACAGCATCGACTGGCGAAAGCTGCTTGAGAGGAAGTACGAGCCCAGCTTCAAGCCCAATGTGGTACGTAAAACTTTTGTTAATTCAAAGGCCATGGCTAACATACACCTAGGTTGACGCAAAAGATACTGCCAACTTCGACCGCGAATTCACCTCGGAAGCTCCAACAGATTCGTATGTCGATGGTCCTATGCTTTCCCAGACTATGCAACAGCAATTCGCAGGATGGTCTTACAACCGCCCTGTTGCGGGTCTTGGCGATGCTGGTGGTTCGGTGAAGGATCCATCGTTCGAGGGTGTAACGGAAAGATAGTGCCTTCATCGCCTCAATACTTCGGCTTCGGAGAATGGCCGTTGAATAGGCGCGTGGCTTGTCACGGCAATGGAGCCGACTGCAAGCACAACACCCGCCGGCTTTGGATCCACAGATATAAGACATGGTCATTGGTGGGATCTCAGCGCTCTTTGATGCTTTTTTGGGTTCTGGAGCAATGGCACGGCGCTTGAGGCAGCATTTGTGTGAGAGAAAGCCTAAATTCAGGCAAGCAAATCAAGACGATATCCCCATTGAGTTAGAGATGCACATGTCTTAGTGATCAGCTTTGTGGTGCTTTGGTAAGGCTGTCCAGGTGGAACCAACGGGATGTTCTGACAGCAAGCGCGTGGTAAAAGTGGTGCCCCTCCTTCCCTCAACGGAGCTCTGACGCAAGCGGGGCTGAGTCTCGGCCGCGCGACTTACAATTCTCCCATCACATCCGCGAAAACAATCATCTTCACTTTACTCACACCTTTTCCATCATCTCTCACGCTTGCAATTGACCTCCTCTATCTCCAATTGTCCAAGTTTGAAACCTCATACCCACCCACTAATCCTATAACACAACATGCCCGGCTTCGCACAGGCCTCAGACCTCAATGCCTGGTCCGCGCTTCAGGACCACCACCAGAAGCTTGGCAAGGACATTGTCTTGAAGGAGTACTTTAAGAAGGACCCTCAAGTAGGTCTGGATGGCTAAATCTAGTACGTTGCTAACAAACTGTAGCGATTCGAGAAGTTCAGCCGTACTTTCAAGAACGATGCCGAGAACTCCGAGATCCTGTTCGACTTTTCCAAGAACTTCGTCACTGAGGAGACACTGAAGCTTCTTGTCGAGCTCGCAAAAGAAGCTGGCCTCGAAAAGCTTCGCGATGACATGTTCGCTGGTGAGAAGATCAACTTCACTGAGAATCGTGCCGTCTACCATGTCGCACTCCGCAACACCTCCAACCAGAAGATGGAGGTTGATGGCAAGAGCGTCGTCGAGGACGTCAACTCAGTTCTTGACCACATGAAGGAGTTTAGCGAGCAGGTCCGAAGTGGCGAGTGGAAGGGATACACTGGCAAGAAGATCGACACCATCATCAACATTGGTATTGGTGGTTCTGACCTGTATGCAACTCTGTTTGATACTGTTCAAACGTGTACTGACTTCAAATAGTGGCCCCGTCATGGTCTCAGAAGCCCTCAAGGCCTACTCTCAGCGCGATCTCAAGATCCACTTCGTTTCCAACATTGACGGAACTCACATCGCAGAAGCTCTCAAGGACTCCAACCCCGAGACCTCCCTCTTCCTCATCGCCTCCAAGACCTTTACCACAGCCGAGACCGTCACAAACGCCAACACCGCAAAGTCATGGTTCTTGAAGAGCGCAAAGCAGGAGGACATTGCCAAGCACTTCGTTGCCCTCTCCACTAACGAGGAAGAGGTCACCAAGTTCGGTATCGACAAGAAGAACATGTTCGGCTTCTCCGACTGGGTCGGTGGACGTTACAGTGTCTGGAGCGCTATTGGCCTGAGCGTGGCTCTTTACATTGGCTTCGACAACTTCCATCAGCTCCTGGCTGGTGCTCACGCCATGGACAAGCACTTCAAGGAGACTCCTCTTGAGCAGAACATTCCCGTCATCGGTGGTCTTCTGAGTGTATGGTACTCCGACTTCTTCGGCGCCCAGACTCACCTTGTCTCTCCGTAAGTTTGTCAGTTCAGCAGATACGCTTAGTCTAACATTGCCCAGCTTCGACCAGTACATGCACAGGTTCCCCGCCTACCTCCAGCAATTGTCCATGGAGTCGAACGGAAAGGCCATCACCCGCAGCGGCGACTATGTCAAGTACACAACCGGTCCCATTCTGTTCGGTGAGCCAGCCACCAACGCTCAGCACTCCTTCTACCAGCTTCTCCACCAGGGCACCAAGCTCATCCCAACCGACTTCATCCTCGCCGCCCAGAGCCACAACCCTGTCGAGGGCAACAAGCACCAGAAGATGCTTGCATCCAACTTCTTCGCCCAAGCCGAGGCGCTCATGGTCGGAAAGACGCCTGATGAGGTCAAGGCTGAGGGTGCGCCTGAGAACCTTGTCG